AACAGGCTATGTATTGTAACAGGGATGCTCACTGGGTATTGTCGCCTAAAAGGACACCTTAGTAAACTGAGAGTAGTAGAAGATAGTGAGTGCAGATTCTATGAGGAGGAGGAGGACGAAACCTCCTTTCACAATCTAACTGAATGTGTAGCACTCCAGAATCCAAGGGCACTCTACCTAGGAGTATATCAAATAGAAGATAGAGATTTACCTAACATGAAGCCACTCCAAATCCTACACTTCCTTGAGAAGATAGGATTGGAAGGGTCGTTTAGGCATTGAGACATTTCCTTGCTGCATTAGCGACAGAAGGGAATACAATGGATCTTTTAGGTAGCAGTTGTTACATTCTTTTAGATTTCTTCGATGTAAATTGTACTTAATATGTAATTTAGCTCAAATTGCTGATACTGCGTGGATTCATAAATTGACCAGGACAAATGAAATCAGAGTAGCTTGACCTGTTCGCGGGCCAAGGTCTACTTTACGATAAAATGAAAGATATTACAATATGATAACGACAAAAAAAGTTAAGCGTCACCAAGTTTTTGAGTAACTTAGAAAACTTATCTGATTTGATATGTCCTGTTTAATTGAGTCAGTCTCTGGTACTTAAAGTTAGCTGTATGGGTTCTGGCAAATAAAAGAAAGTGAGAAAATTTAATACATTTAATAAAAAAATAAAAGATTGAAGTTTTACATATAAAAATTATAGATAGTTAGTTAGTGATTACATCACATAGCAAATAAAAATTGACTGATATATGAATGAATAAATTATAACTAATTAAATGTACTGTTAGATACTTCGACAAATATTATTAATTGTGACCATGTGGCATTCTAGTACGGTAGGTACAGTACTTCCCTGTTGTATGTCAGACTTTAAGTACTTTGATATTTGGGGCTTCTTATTTCTTAGAGCTTCCTGGAGCAACTACGCAACTCGGTACTTCTCTTTGAACTTCCTACTAGGAGCTTCTTCTTGAAGGATCTTAAGCTTCATAGAGTAGTCTCTTCTTGGTGGATCTTAAGCTTCATACAGTAGTCTCTTCTTGGAGGATCTTAAGCTTCATAGAGTAGCCTCTGCTTGGAGCCACTGACAGTTATCCCAACGATAACACACGATGGACACATAAATTACAGATAATTACTAGTAACTCATTTTAATATATTTATCGGCACAGCTAGCACTTTGAGTTTAAACACACAAAAAAAAAGAATAATTCTGAACGAATAGGGTTTTATAAGGACTGGTTGCTCGAAGAACCGCTATGGACTGTGCGCCGAACAGCAGATCATGCACGAACGATGCTTTGTAAAAATCAATAATGGTACGGCAAGCAGTGGTCATATGTTGTGTTACGAGGGATTATGGAGTTGTTAAAAATAAATTTGAAATTAATTTCACGTAACACAGTGTATTAACGCCACATTCCCAACATAACAACAACATAAATAAAATAGAAATTTTAAATAATTTTTGGTATGCACCTTGTATTTAATGCGTTGTACAAAAGCTTTTTGTCATTAAATAAAATAATTATAAGTAATACGGTCTCACTTTTAGGTACCTATTAAAAGCTTATTAAATATACTTAATGTGACAGAAGAAATTAAAAAATCAACATTGATTATGAACGGATTTTCGAAAATTCACCCAATAAAAGATTATTTTTAAAGGATTGCAGTTTATTATAATTGATACAGGCGACAGATAAGGTAGTGATCGACCGTAGTTAGTGAACTAAAGATTTCACTGATTGCCAAATTAGTGAAGTGTCTATTGGTTTGGGGAACCTTGGATGTTGAAAAATTAAGTCAGCGAAATAAGACTACAATAATGCAGTACTTGCTTTCATATCAGAAGACTGAAAAAAATTTCCGTTTTACCTTTGCGAAAATGACAATATAATTTACCTTAATTTGAACGTTTAAACTTGGATTCGAATTTCAGTAAATAATTCTATGTATATATTATGTATCTACCTATGTATAAAATGTATATTTACGAGTATGTACTATGATATGCTCTATAAGTTTAAAGATTTCTTAGAGTAAATAAATATTTATTTTTTTATTGTATTTTTTCTTTCCTATTCTATTTCCTGTTCTTTCATTAATTATTTTTTCGTGACGTGGTATTTTAAGGAAACAACAAAATGTTCTCAAAAACTTCTCACCTTTTGTGGTATTACTCTTGAATATATACAGGGTGTCATTGAAAAAATTCAGGAGGTGATAGTACTCCTAAAACTAGTAAAAAAAGTTCCTATAACTATGGGTCGTTAAATACATATCAAGGGATTTAGGGGCGTCAAAAGGGCAAACTTGGAAAGTGGTTTTTTGAAATTGTAAGCTTAAAAAACACGATAAAACTTCGAAACAAATCCCTGTTGACATAAAATTTACTGCTGAATCCAATGGTAATATCGAAAAATTACTTATTTAATCAGAAAGGGTAGTTCTTGCAAGGGTAAGGGGTCGATTTATGATTAACTTTTTAGGGGTTGATTTTTTTACAACGTGGGTCCATTTTTTAAAAACAACTACCTTTTTTCCATAAAAAAGTTACTCTTTTTGCAATTCGCTTAAAGCAACCGTTTTCGAGAAAATTGAAGGCAAAGAGTTTGGTAAACCTGTAGTTGAAAAACGAAAAGTAAAATTACTTATTTTTTGATGGGTATCTCACAGATTAATAAACATAAATTTATGAAAATTGTGACGTGTTAAACTAATCAACCTCCCAAAAAACTCATAAATACTAAAAAAAAAAAAAAAATACTTTCAAGTAATGTCGAAGAAATTTTATTATAAAAAATTATTTGTTGTCTGTGGGTCAATTTTTTTCTCTCAACTTTACAATCGGAAGGTAAGTGGCAACCCAAACCCCAGAAGAAATTTGTGGGCACGCCACTGTCAATGAATACTTTTTGTAAATGGAATAATCAAATTAGGACAGAACAATAGCTATGTACATGGCATTATCACAATTTTTTTATTTTAATTTAGCAAAAAGAAATTGTAAATAATTTTGCCTAAAATTATTCTGGTTTTTAAGTATTTCTGTTAGTTTCTTGTTGTTGAAGTGTACGTGAGCGTAATATACCAGAAATTATGGAATACACTACTTGCATTGACAGATATGCATTTTATTTATGGAAGAGCGAACGGAAACGGTCTTTTAACTAAACGTTTGTATATTCAAAAATATCCAAATCGCAGAGCACCCTCTCATAGGATATTTGCCAGAATCCATCAGAGCCTGAGAGACGAAGGTTCATTTAGTAACAGGCACCATGATCGCGGTCGTAATGTTACAGTGCGTACACCAGCAATTGAAGAGCGAATTTTAAGAAGTGTAGAGGAAGATCCAGGGTTATCTGTAAGGAGAATTGCAGCGCGAGAAACCGTGAGTCGCTATACTGTGTGGATGACTCTTCATACTCAACAGCTGTATCCATACCACATCCAAAGGGTACAAGCCCTTAATCCTCCAGACTATCCCGCTAGTGCCAATTTCTGTCGTTGGTTATTAAGAAAACTGGTAGAAGATCCCTTTTTTCTGTCAAACATTTTATGCACTGATGAAGCAGGGTTTACCAAAAATGGGATTGTTAATTACCACAACACCCATTACTGGTCCGATCAAAATCCTCATGCTGTCATAGAAAGCCGACACCAAGTTCGATTCTCAGTAAACGTTTGGGCGGGAATCCTTGGAGATAGACTTATTGGACCATTCTTTCTACCCAATAGGTAAATTTTAAAACTGTTCAAACGTCACCAATTCCTAATTATTATTATTCTTTTAGGCTTAATGGACAAAATTACCTTCATTTTTTGGTAAACCATTTATCAATACTTTTGGAGGAAGTTCCAATAGCACAGAGGCAGATTATGTATTTTATGCACGATGGTGCACCACCTCATTTTTCACTAGCCGTGAGAAAACATTTAAATCAAGTTTTCGAGAGGCGTTGGATAGGACGTGGTGGTCCACAAGCTTGGCCAGCCAGATCACTTGATTTCTACTTACGGGGTCACTTAAAAGCTTTGGTTTACTCAGTGCCGATTAATACTGAAGAGCAACTACGACAACGGATAATTGACTGCTCCAATCAAATTCGTACAACGCCAAGGATTTTCAATAGGATACGCAGATCCTGGAGGAGAAGAGCAGGTGTCTGTATTGAAATGAATGGTGGCCACATTGAACATTTACTTTAAATAAAAGAGTCAGACTGATATGATAAAAAATACGGTACTTTCTATAATAGTAATAAAATATTTTTCACTTTAATTTCTCACTCTTTTATTATTTAAAATAATTTCGGCGCTTCTCTTGTTTAACAGGGCGATTTGGTAATTCTAAATTGAAAGAACCACGCCATAATTTTCATAAATTTATGTTGATTAACCTGTGAGCAACCCATCAAAAAATAAATACATACTTGTTTTTCAAATACGGGTTCAGTAAAATGTTTGCCTTCAATTTTCTCGAAAACCATTGCTTTAAGCGACTTGCAATAAGAATACGTTTTTTATGGAAAAGAGGTAGTAGTTTTTAAAAAATAGACCCATGTTGTAAAAAAAATCAACCCCTAAAAAGTTATTCATAAATCGACCCCTTACCCTTGCAAGAACTACCCTTTCTGATTAAATAAGTAAATTTTCGATATTATCCAATGGTAATAGTAAATTTTATGTCAGCAGTGATTTTTTTCGAAGTTTTATCGTGTTTTTTAAGCTTACAATTTAAAAAAAAAAACACTTTCCAAGTTTGCCCTTTTGACTCCCCTAAATCCCTTAATATGCATTTAACGACCCATAGTTATAGGAACTTTTTTTACTAGTTTTAGGATTAATATCACCTCCCGAATTTTTGTACACTATTTCAATGACACCCTGTATAATTACAAGATGTTCTATATCTATAACTGAACAATCATCTAAGACCAGACGTTTAGTACAATCTTTATAAAAGAGACTATACTCACCGAAAAACATTCGACAACAAACTGTATCCAGGCCTCAGCACATGTAATATATTCATCTGGATTGTCAAAAGAACTTATATGCTTCCATACTATAGCCAATATTTCTCGCCTTTGATCCGAAGGCGGGGGACAAACGGTTATACACAAACCTAATGTTCTTAACAAGTGATACAAAGGCACACCTCCGTCGGAGCTATCCAAAATCATATCCAAAAATTCCATACACCTATCGGAAATGTATGCCGGTTTGAATCCGCTCATTATTGTATTTAAAATTAGAGAACTGAAACATAATAACTGAGATTAACATACTTCATAGAAATACCAAGCAGAGCGAATATATTTTTACAATAAAACGATGTTTTTTTCAGGAAAAACAAAAACGGTTGGTGAAATTTTGTTCAAAACAGGTTATTCCTATAGTACAGTTCATCAAATTTCTAGAGGTGTTCGACGCCCAGACAGAGAACGCGCTACGTGTGACTAAGATAGCTATTGTACAGTCTGCTAAACAAGTTATTTTAAATAGTTTTTAATATTTTTAGGTAATTAAATTTTAAAAGTGTGGAATAGTTTAGGGATTAAATTGGTCTGATTGGACTTTCTTAGAACGTTTTTAAAAGCAGCTAAAGATAGTATGTAGAATTGAAAATAATTATTATGCCATAAAAGGTGTTTTGGAATTCCTTCAACCTTTTGAAATTGAGTCAGAAAATATAAATTTTATAGGATAGCGGAAAATACCTATAATTTTTTTGTAGGCTTTTGTAAATCGTGGAAATAGTTTATATTTTATTTCTACCTTATTAAGGAAAATGGTACCTATTATTAATAACGGTTGTTTCTGAAACATTACTAAAATTTTCGAAATTTTGTTTTTCTACAAAATAATAAACTATACTATTTAGAAAAAAATTTATTTCTCTTATAATTTTATAAAAAATAACGGGAATATTTACATTTCTTGATCTATTAAACAAAACGATAAATTATCTCGACGAATGACACCATGTTCTAGTACGGAAGCTAGCTTTACATTTTTGTTGGTGGTTTCATGGGTTTCATATCAATTTTTTGTAATTGTAGTTTACACGTACATATACCTCTTAACACTTGTTTGCTTTATTAAAAAAGTGTGTTGTTGTGACTTACGTCGAAATAAGTCAAAAACAACTTGAAACCCCATATAAAATCAAAAAGGAGAAACGGAAAAAAATTGAGCCTGTAAATGAACACAACTCAGAAACAAAAATAGCTATCTAATAATAAAAAAATAAAATTTGATTCTTGTGCATCTTCGTTGTAAAAATAGATAATACTTTTTTGATCTTAGGCACAGATATAATTTTAATGGTCTTCCGAAAAACTTTCTTCAGTTTCCATATCAGATTCAAAATCAGTCTCACTGTCACTGTTTAAGTTAATTATAAATTTATCAGTTGCCTCATCCAAAGTAACTTCTCTGTCATAAAATTTAGATTCCCACATTTTAGCATTATTACAACGAGATTGCCACTCCTCTTTAGAAAACGTATCAAAAAAGTCTTAACACAACAGTTGTACGTCTTGCCTCTTAAATGTAGTGTTGTTACTAGCTACATATTGTTTCAATGATGCCCACAATAATTCGATCGGATTAAGATCGGGATGATACGGTGGCAAACGCAAACAACTAAAACCATGTTCATTTATCATTTCTTCAATTGCATACCTCTTAAATCGTGACTTATGCAATAGCACTAAACTGTATAATTGCGTTTTGAGCATATCCTCTTCGTAAGCAATATTATGATTCCTTAACCAATCCTGCATGTCAGCTTTTTTAGAAGATAACGTTGGTGCTTTATTTACCTGGACATTATGGTAAGGAGCATTATCAACAATAATGACGCTACTTGGAGGGAGGTTTGGAAACAGCTTTTCTTTCAACCATTTAGAAAAATTATTAAAATTCATTTCATCGTGGTAGTCTCCACTTTTGGTTCCAGATTTGAAAATTAACCGGGCATTCGGAATAAAGCCCATTTCACCTCCTGCATGGACAATAATTAGTCTATCACCTTTATTAATTGGTTTCTTTAATCCCTCATTTGAATTATCACTCCAAGCTTTCTGGTGTGTGTGGGAGGCATGAATGTATGTTTCATCTAAGTAGACAATTGGACGGCCCTCTGCTCGATAACTTTTTAAACGAATCAGATAGTCTAAACGTAGCTTTTGAATATCAAACCTTTCCATTAATATTTTTCTGTTTGTTTTTGTTTTCCGCCAACGAAATCCTAGCGACTTTATTATTTTTCTTAAACTTTCATAGCTTCCTTTGTACCCTGTAGCTTCTCTAAATTTAGTCAGAATTGTTTTTAATGTTGGAACAATATTTTCCGAGATTAACATGAACAGAATAATTCTTTTTAAAATACCTTTGTCAGCTTCATCTATATCATTAACTGTTTTTGGTTTTTTAATGGTTTTTCTTGGTGATGAAAATTCCGATATCTCATGGTTATCGATTCTTTTTTTCTCTCCAGAAATGCGGACGACAGTGTTTTTAGATACTCCTGTGGCTGCAGCAACACGATCATTTACATGTTTAAATGGTATTGAAGGTGAATTAAAGTTTCCTTCTCTTCTCATAAACTCTATAACATTGGCTATTTTTTCGCGAGATTGACTGTTAATCACGCGGCCTCTTAATTTGCTATTAAACTCCATACTTAGGTTCTATTAAACTGTAATGAGCAAAAAACACAAACGAAAATAAAAGAAATGTTTTAGCGAAATTTACATCTGACATTTACGTCTGAATAAAATAGTGAAATACTTGATGCGCAGAGTGTACTTTCATTGCGTAAATCCGTCGGCCCCGCCAACCGATGCCTCTCAGTAGTGCTTTCTCTGTCTAGCCGTCGAAAGCCTCTAGAAATTTGATGAACTGTACTTCCTATAACCTGGAGTCATCGTAGATTGATTAAAAAAAATAATATATACATAAAATGAGAAAAATAAAAAACGCTACTAGGGTTTTTTGAAGAAACGCATTTTCGAACTAAGGGTTTTCGAATAAACATGCTTCAAACAAAATTTTTCTAACAAAATCGTTTAATGCCTGCCTACCTACCTACCTACCTATTTTTCTTTTTCTTGCAAACACTTAACAAATTTGGCAAAAATGATTCATTGACTACACAGTTTACGGCTTCTAATATGAAATCCAAGGCAGGTGTATACAAAGTGATATATGTTGGCAATTCCATTTTTTGAGATTCCAGTTCTGTCTTAACTCCCCTACTAAATATCTAAAAAAAGTGAAATGTCAGTAAACTATAAAAATATATATTTAAAAAAAAAAAACAATGTTACTGTTTAGCTCACTAATAAAAAACAAGGCTAAAAGCAACTGCTTATACATATAGTCCAATTAAATAACGAAAAAAAGCCCCTTCAAGCTTACATTAATTTGTAATTGGATGAAACAAAGTGGACCTTATGTATTTTGATGTGATCTTTCAGAATAAAAGCAAAAAAGATATAGCTGTTATTCAATTTTTTTTAAATTAGGAAAAACCGGGTTTTCCGGATTTTCCATGGCAAAAATGCTAATTATCTGGGCAAGTATCATTCCGATAGTAAAAATAAATGCACCAATCGAAAGAGGAGGCAAAAACAGTTCGAAAATTCATTGTACAGGTAGTTCTAATAACGAATTTCTCGTCGCCAGAAGTGCTTTTACCAAAAAAGTTGTTTTTTCGTTTCTTTGATCAGAACCATGGACATTGGACATGAAATTTGCGATGAATTTGTGGCGAAATTATAAATGTTAGACATATGTGCCCATGAAAGAAGTTGCGTATTTTTTTGTTGGCTCTCAAATAAAATAAATCCCGCGGCGAAATCTGCCATATTTTTTCGGGAATTCGCAGGAAACCGGAAGGCGTAGTTTTTTTTTTAAATTTTTTCCCATATGATTTTCTCCGGGTTTTCCGAAAACATCTAACAAAAAAATATATTTGAAAAAACTAAGTTCGCCATCGGACAGAGCACAAAAAAATACAAAAAAAGGTATACTTTAAAAATGTTCCAACTTGGTGATAAGCTTGTTTTTTGTTCTCTAACATCTGGTTTTTAGTTATTTACAAGAAAACTTGAAATGGGAGAAGATATATATGCATGACAAAAATAAGTATTTTCTAGTTACGTTCCGAATGAGACGGGTTAGGTGGCGAAATCTGCAATAATTTTTGAAAAAATTGCAAAACAATTGTTTCTTGATTTCTCGTACTTTTTTCTTAAATAACTCGAAAACTAATTATCTGAATAGAAAACTGTTTCCATCAGATGAAAGAGAAAAAAGACACGAAAAACTGTGACAAATACATTTTTTCTAGCATCCACTGTTTTCTGAGCGCACGTGTGCAAAGATCGGTAATTCTTGCGAGAATTGAAGCTACTCGAATTTTATCGAGAAAAGGGGCGTTTTCTGGCAATTGGGAGAGAAAGTAAGCTTGTTTCTCATAAAACTTACTGATTCTTATATATTTTAAGTCTGTAAAGTGCCCAAATTACGGAAAAAATCGACAGTGTTTGTTTTTTCACGAAAAAAAAAAAAAAAGTTGGATTTAAGAGAAAACCACTCGTTTTACGAGCAATTTTCTAAGCACAAAAAATTCGTAGTTTTCGGTTATATTTCGAATGCAAATCTGCAATAGTTCGCGAAAACGTGGCCAAATCTTTTTTTTAAATGTTCTCTTTCTTTGAATGAATCGACAAGTCGTTGTTCGACTCAACTAAATACAGTAGAATATCTGGAAAACTCTGGCCTTTATCTCAACGAAAACCTGAACATTGACTTTTGGGATAAATGTCAATAGAAACAATTTTTTATACATTTTTCTGGTATTGTTGGGCACTGAATGCGCGCAAATGGGATGCAATATACTGTGTGCAATTGAAACATAAAGTCTCAAAATCAACAGAGTCACTCCTTCTTTTCTTCTCGGTTGATGCTCCATCCTCTTTTTTTTTGGCATTGTCAATCGCGGCCCTTTTATGCCTATCCCAGGTTTTATAAATAAACTTTTTTCCGTAACGTCCAGATACGTAATGTTTGCGACACCTCTCATACAATATAAAACCTGGTTCTAAAGAACTGAAAAAATCATCCTCCCTCTCTTTGCTGACCGTCTGCAGACCTTTAATCCTGTCGGTCTAATTGGGGTAAGTTCACCCTCTGCAAGTGTCTGATGACTAAATAAACACAGGCCAGCCATTGCAACCTGGAAACAAAAAAATTATAGCACTGTTATAGAATTTTCTTAATTTAGGAACGTACTTACTCAATAAATTGTTGAAGAAGTCCGAAAAACCACGTGTACACAGAGCTTGCTGAACACGATTATTAAAAATCTATGCCGATGATCAATTTGTAATAATATGACCGTTTGAAGTTTAAACTTGTCGGATAGCGAACGCCGAGACCATGGCTATCCTTGATGCGACGTGTGGCTAATTTTGCGGTAATTCTATATTTTGCACAAAACTCAAGAAACGTCTTATAACAAGTCAGTAAAATACAATTTAATAAATTTTAAGCCTAATAAATTTAGGTATGTAAGAAATTTAAAACTGGAAATCGCAAAAAAATCAAATTACAGAAATGCAGTGTATACACGAGTTTTGGATCCCGCGGAGCGCGTGTAATGGGACTTTTGTCGGGAGAATTCTACAACTTAGAAGAAACATACACACTTTAAACTTTGTATACACATTCAGAAGACATGAAATTTGGGTTTGCTCAATTTTTAGACCAAAAAACAGAAAATCGTCAATATTAGGCACCTTTTCTCAAAAACCGTGTTTTTGGTCGTCACTCAATGAACAGTGGTCAAAAAAAATAAATAAAATATTTTCGCAGAATTTTCCGGTATGTAATCGTATTTTAGACACAATAAAGTACTCAAAAAAAAAAGTTTTGAGCCATTGGGTGCATTTTTGGCATTTATGTGCCACTTCATACTTTCGAAAAAAAAAATTAGTTTAATTGTTTGATATCTTGGCCAATTATAGTCCAATTTCGGTGAAATTCACACACACATAAGATTTCACATTCAAGAGTAAGCTCTGTAAGGGGCATTAAAAAAATTCAAATAGTTTGGCCGTTATAGGCAAACAATGAAATTATGCCCGCGGTACTTTGCCCTTCCGCCATATGCCCAATTTTGGGATTTCCTTTGTCCCCTTCTGGGAATAAATAGTCAGATCCCTTAAGTTTAAAACGCATTTTTGTTTTTTCAAATATCTTAATTTTTACCAAAGTTATGAAGAATTTAGTGTTTGAACATTTAACAAATTCAATTTTTCGTCCTTCGCCGCCTCAAAATACTAAACAAATTTCAATCGTCCATACCGCGAGAACGGTGCATCGGATCGAAATTTTTTAAGAGACATGAAAATTAACATTTTCCCTAAGCTTTCAAATGTCGTAAACTGCGTTTTGAAAATATTGATTTATTTCAGACATGCGCCTGCGTAAAATTGAAAAATTGACAAAATCCAAAATTTCGGCACTTTCGAAAAACAGCTACATTTTGTTTTGCCTTTTTTCGAAAAGATCACATCAAAATACATTTTACAGAATTAATTTTGTTTCATCTGATTACAATTTAATGTAAGCTCAAAACCCGTAATTTAATTCGATAGAAGTTCTGACGTTCTCTATTATACATTTTTGGTCAATTTTTATAAATCATACTCTTATACAGTAACGTAACCAGAAAATGTACAAGAGAGGGTTTTAAAATTAAAAAAATACATAATACTTATTTTTTTATGATTGCAACTATTTAAATTCCCCTGTGTTTTAATTATAGTTTCTGAGCCACTAAGGTGGGAGCGAGGGATGAAGTTGCCCGCAAAACATTATACGTTGGCCGAGGTATGGGGTATTTAGAGGCGTAGCTCAATAGGGGATCGAAACAATTATTTCCAAGGTATAATTTTTTTTAAATAAACGAACATCTTTTCTAAATTTAGAATAATAATTAATAAACGATAAGTGACGTACGTACATGATGGTAAGAATCCAAAAATCCAGTAAAATTGACCAGTAAGAAACCAAATTCTAACTTCTTTTTCAAAATGGTTATTCCTACTTTGCACAAATAACATCTTACGTAAACTGCTACCAGTGGATTACCAATACCATGAATCATATCTGTCATTCTTTGAAGACTTTCATTGCATTCACTGAAAGATATTTTAAACGTTACTATTAATATAAATAACCATAAATTAGTTTATCTTATATTTGAAGACAAACTAACAGTTGCTGGATACATAAATATGTTAAAAACAATTTTATTTGAAATGAAAGAGGAATCCACTTCAATTCCAACAAAATGAAGACCTGACTATTATTTGATCACTAAATTGCTTAAGCACATGTAGATGTAGCTACGATCTTTAACCTCCATATTTTGTCCATTATATTGCAAGAGTTTTTCAGCTAAATAATAAAAGCAACCATATTTTTATTTTGTTTTCAAGTGGAAAAGATTTGTCAATGCTTTATAACAGTAGTTATCTAGTAATCTGAATTATATCATCTTCTACTACAGAAGCCAATTGGAATATGCTGACAAGATGAAACTCTATATATATCAATTTAATCTCACTCTTGCTTTTACAATAGTCTTTCAGTCAGTCAGTAATTAACATTCAAAGTATTTATATCGTAACATTTTAATATTGTCGGGGTTAATTGTTTATCATATAAAATATTTTTTAAAAATAAAACTTTTCGTTCTACTTGACATTTTTTCTGAATGTATATTAAGAATTTCCCTGTTTAATCGCAATTGAATATTTAACTGACTAAATATAGTCGCAGGGATAAATACCTACCTACTTTATAGGTATATAAATGAAAATTATCTAAATAATCTCAAAAGTAAGAAGCAAAAAAGATATGGATGTCACTGATAGCCCAAAAAATTGACCTTTCTGATTTCAACCATCAAATTATGATGTTATGAAAATTACTTGCATTAATTTAAAATGTAAAAACATACTTGGTCGAAATAAACCTGTACGAGTTAAGCAAAGCTATCTCAACATATATTCTTGGTACAAGTTCTCTTATGGAAGCGATTTTGTAAAACCAATTCAGACAGGTTTCTTTGGCCGAATCTGAAACCATATCAGGGGTAAAATCTTCGGGTAAATCTGCAAGAGTTTTGGAACCAGATCTAAAAAAAAAGAACACGAGAAATGTTAAATGGTAAATTCTTAATTTTATACGTATTTAAATGCACAAATGTCTACAGGAACCTTACTTAATACAAACTGCCTTCGTTTTCAACCGTTCATACACCAACTTTCCAAACGTATCCAAAATATCCGTAATAAGAACAAATTTGCTAGGATAAAAAGACAAAACTTCCGTGTCTCCCAAAAGTTTAGCGCACTGTATGGCAATTTTTAATGCTTTCACTCTCTGTTCGGTATTCCAAGCTATAACCAATTCCTTATTTAACTGTTCGATTTTCGTGATGTATTCAGCTTGGGATAAATTGAGTCGGTGCTGTGATCCTTCTTCAAAAGAGTCCAGTTGTTTTAAACGGTGTTGGACTTTATCTATTGCAGTACTTTGTGCTTTCACTGTCACTAAAAATTATTTTAAGAATAATTAAATTAAGAGCTTTTTTTTCAAACAAGTTAAGAAAAAAGAGGTTTGTCACCAATGTGGCATCGACAAATATATAACAAATCAATACAAAAAATCATAATTATTCGAGTAAGTTGTGAAACTTTAAATATGTAAAAGCATAAATGTTGCAAATTTTAAATATTTTCAATTATTTTGGCCAAACATTCCAAATATTTTCTAATCACCAATGCGGCATTGTCAAATATATAATAACAACACTGTTTTTTATCATACCTTTCTCTCCTTCGGATAAAAAGCTAGTCACTATAGATAGTTTTTCAGATGTTGTGTATTTAGTTAAAATGCCAGCTCTTCTTGAAGTCCACGGTTCCATTTGGTAAAATATATTATTTTCGGCATCTTTTATTACTATACTTTTAGTCTCGGGTATCTCTTGAGAATCCTAAACAATTTATAATAAATTTTATTTCAAAATAAAATTATTTATTCCTTTCTTATAAAAACACAAAACAAATCCAAAACATAATAATACTTGTACACACATTCAAATAGTTCATGATTGTTAATCAAGAAAACAATCTATTAAATTCTATTCAAATTGATTCGATTAATAAAGTCATTGATGCTGCTAATATAACAAATAAAATTAATTTAAATGAAAAACTCCTAAATGTCTTACATTTCAATATTAGGAGTATTAAAAAGAATTTTGATGAGTTGTTAGTTTTTCTAGAAAGTTATAAAATTAATTATTGTGATGTAATAGTTTTGACTGAATGTTTCCAATTAGAATCTATTTCTCAATTTAACCTAGATGGCTTCACCACCCAGTATAACAATGGTAACATTAACAGAAATGATGGTGTAATTTTGGTCAGGTCAAATCTACATGCAGAATTAAATATAGTTAAACTGGAATATTCTGATATTTGTGTCACTAAAATAAATCTAAAAGTCAATCATCGGACCATTGGCATTACAGGTGTATACAGGCCTCCTCAAACCTCTGCACAAGCATTTATAAGGGATTTAGAAAATTTCATACCAAATCACCTAAATAGAAATATTGAAATATTCATAGGGGACATTAATATTGATCTCCTAAATGTAACCAATCAGTAACTACTGATTACCAAGCAACTTTTTACTCCCATGGTTTCATGTTTTTTTTTCCTGGGCTCGTCTGACTATGTGTCTCCGAATAACACTGAAGCCTATTGGCTTATTGTGTTTTACCTCATGTTAGTTCATAGCACCCACTCTATCACCTTTGTACCTTGTACAAGTTTTTACAGATCCTTGGGTGAGTGGGTTCTATACGTTGTTGGATCAACCTGGGGTTGTCCAAAAAGAGCCTGTCTTTTGCGATCTAGAGCTTCGCATTCGCACAGTCTGTGTTTGGCCGTTTCTGGTTTCTTGTGACATAGTCGGCACATTCGGCACATGAGTTCCCCATTGTACATGTCAATTTTGTTCAAGTGTCCCTTTACTGGGGCGTGGCCAGTCATGAACCCTGTTATCACTTTCAACTGGTTCCTATTCATTAAGAGTAGTTCTCCAGTTCTTTTGGGACATGGTCTGCCTATGAAGGCTTTTCCATGTGCCTGTTTTGGGGTGCTTCCCCAATAGTTGATATGTTGTTCCCGAATCCAGTCATTTATAAAACCCCGGACTGTACTTTTTGGTACTCCCACATTGATGAAATCTCTAATTATGTGTTGTCAAAAAAACCAAGTTTAGTATGTGTTTCTGAAACTTGCTTGACTGAGGATATTTATGATTCAGAAATAGACATTGATGGATACAAAAATTATAGATTTCACAGTGAAAGTAGACAGACAGGGGGTACTTTAATTTATGTACAAAGTGAATTGAATGTTTTAAAATATTTTAAATTTTGTAGCGCTAAAAAAACAAATAAAAATATTTCGTAAATACCAAAAATGGTGGAATGAAAATGTAAAAGCTTCCACAAGGTACAGAGACCTTGCATATAAAAATTATTCACAAGAAAAAACAGAAAATAATTGGAATTAATACAAAATGCATAGAAATAGGGCCGTTAACGTAATTAGAACAGAAAAAAGTAAACACATAGAGAAAAATATTTACGAAAGTAGGGGAAATTCAAAGGAAATGTGGAAATATCTTGAATGTCTGATTCCAAAAAATAATAAGTCAAATAACTTAATTGAACTTGAACTAGAAAATAATGTTATTATAAAAAATATTTTTGACATGCCAAATGCTCTTAATAAATTTTACATAGACAGTATCCAATTGATTGCTAGTATGATTGATCATACAATACCAGATTATCAAATTTTAGACAGACACAATGGACATTTTCTTGGAAAATTTCAACTATGTACGGTGGATTCTTTAAGAGACATTCTTTTTGCAATGGAAAATAAAAGTAGCGCAGATGACATTAACATTAATATTTTAAAAAACTGTTTTCCCAATCTCTCAGAACCACTTCTAAAGTTGATAAATTCGTCATTAGAAATTTCAAAAATACCTAATGCTCTAAAAATTGCTATGATAGTGCCTGTTCCAAAGACAAAAAACGCAAATAAAGCTACATATTTAAGGCCTATTCGTTTATGAACAAATTGTTAATTTTTTAGAACAAAATAAACTTATTACCAGAATACAATTGGGCTTCAGAAGCAAACATAACTGTGAATCAGCTATCCAGGGTGTTTTAGATAATTGGAAATATAAATTTGATAAAAACTAACATTGGAAGTTTTTATAGATCTTCAAAGGGCATTCGAGACTGTTGATCAAAACCGTTTGATAAAAAAAATGAAAAGTATGGGTATAGTAGAGCAAGCATTGAAGTGGTGTGTGGATTATCTAAGAGGAAACAAAAGTTAAAAATAAATAACATTTTGTCAGAGGAAATTAACTATATCAGAGGGAAGTATATTGGGTCCCCTGTTGTTTTTAGTGTATATCAATGACATTGTTGATTTCAAGGGTTAATGTGACATTCACCTGTTTGCTGATGATGCCCTAATATATTTTTCTTGTAAGGATTCAGATAATTTGGTAAGAGTTGTTAATGAAACACTGCAACATGTTTATAAATGGTCTTGGAATAATTTGTTGAAAATTAACACAAATAAAACAAAATATATGCTGTTAAATAGCAACTATAACTATACATAGTTTGTTGATAAACAATATAACAATTGGAGGAAATTCTATACAGTTAGTAGAAAAATTCAAATACTTAGGGGTAATTATTGACAAGCAGATGAGATTCATAGATCATGCCAACACTGTTATCAAAACTATTGCATTTAAGTTAAATTTCCTATTTAGAAGTTCATTTGGCTTATCACAGTGGATTAAATGTATTATATATAATACTATAATTCTACCTCACTTTAATTATTGCTCTAAAATACTCTTTTTACTAAATCAAAATGAGTTGAACCGACTACAGAAGACAGAAGCTGCAGAATAGGGCTACACGAATAATATTATCCTGTTCAAAATATATTTCCAATAATCTAATGCTTGAAACTTTGAGGTGGATACCAATCAAAAGTCTCTTATTACCGAATGTGTTAATTTTTATTTATAAAATCAAACATGGGTTACTTCCAATGTACCTAAAAGAGAAGCACAATTATCCAACGCAGAACAAAAATAACTTTTATATTGAAACAGTTGGTAAGATTGCAACACACAATTAACTATTTTTAAAGGTCTAAATCAATATAAGGCACTTCCAGAGAAAATTAAATCAGTAACGTCTGTAACTACATTTAAAGTCAAAGTGACAGATTTCTTAATTGATGAATATTTCTCCAGAAACAGTAACAACCTATAGAATTTTAGATAGTTTCAATTGTATCTAAATTATCTATGTTTTGACTTATATGTATATTTTTACTAAATTTGTATATTGTGATATTAGCAAACTAGCTAAATAAAGGAAATAATAATAATATTATTTAAGATGTTTATTGTATTTTGAGAGTTAACTAGTAAAAGGGTTACAAGGAAACTAAAGACTTACTACTTCCGCTGCCAATTTCGACAAAGGGTCCATTTCTTCCATTGCAAAGTCAGATAAAGGGTCCAACTGCCTAAGAGCTCGAGTTAAGGGCTCCAATAGTGAAATGTGCGTTTCTAGTGGAGTTGTCATCCCTGTGCTAGGAATTGAACCCAATATTTTTCTTGGAATTCTCTCTGTAATCTTTTAAACATTGATTAAATTTTTTTCAATAGATCATTTGAAAATGTACTTACTATATTCTTTAAAGGGTGATCATTAACAGGTAGTGGATGCAATCTTTTAATCATTAAATTGGTATTAATTAGGGTTTTCCTGAAATTGAAAAAATGAGATATATCTTATGATTATTCGAATTTAAGTATATAAAATACATACCATTCAATACTATTATCAACCATTTTAAAATTATTTTATTATGATTGTAGTGTAATTAAAAAATATATATATATATAAATAGTTAACAGTAATATTTTAAATGAAAGTAATTCCAAAAGATTTTTGTGTTTGTTTATACAAAAATCCTGGAGCTGCACATAACCTCAATGATTTCCAAGACCTAGAGGTGCGATCGTTTATTCTAGGATTCGGAGTAGAGTACGATGAACGAAACTGATTCATCGTGGAGTAGAGTGATATGTGAATATGACGGACAAGTGTTTCCGGTCTCCAGTGACGTGCTACCGTAAAATGATATGATACATAAATTATTAAATATACTCGGACAAAATATTAAAGAAGGTGATTCCTTCCTGTTTACGTACAACAATCATACTATACCAGAGCATAATGCATCGAATCACGCGCTTAAAACTGCAGAAGTTATCGGAATCATATGCCAACTAGTCATAAATGCATGTTTATTGCCAAAATGAATTACGCCAGTGGCGTATAAAAACTATTGGCAAATTAAATGCGGTAATAGTAAATAATATTATATGAAAGTAGGTTGGTTATCTATTTTTGTACTAATAATCATTTATGTTTATAATTTTGATCTGTTTATTGTTACAATATGTAAATATTATGCCAGTGGAGTAGTCACTATTGGAAAATTAAATGGGGTATTATTTATACTAGAACAAAATATTGAAGAAGGTGCGCCTTAAAACTGCAAAAGGTATCGTTATCATATCAAAATGCACTCTTCCAGTGTCGCAGAAATACTATATTGGCAAATTAAATTGGTATTTGTGAATATTTACTAGATGAAAGTAGTTTGGTTATCTATTTTTGTTATAATAATTCATCTATGCTTATAATTGTATTTTGTTTATTATAAAAATATGTAAATTAAGCTTGGTATCACTTACTTGAATTCTAAATATATGAAGTTTCGTAATCCATTGATTCTGCAGAACTATCACTGGAATAGTCTTTATCGTCGGGACTTAAATAAGTTATGACTAAAGGTTCAACTACCATTTCGATCATACCGTCCAAGCGCCACATATTATTTTTTTGTTTAATTACATGGGAAATAGCATTCTGCCAATCTTCAGGTTTTATACGTTCTATACCGGTTTTTAATAAACTTTGAACGTCGGCTATTTTAAGTTTTATTTTCTCGAGCTACAAACCCTTTCACTTGCGCCCAAATTAGTTCAATAGGATTAAATTCGCAGTGATAAGGGGGAAGTCTTAATACCGTAATACCACGATCATGAGCCATTATGTCGACAACATATTGAATATATTTATGGCGGTGTTCCTTTATTAGGTCCATTAATTCCACTTTAAGCATATCCTCAGTAAATGTTATTGCTGTATCCCGCAGCGAGGTTTGCATATCCGCTTTCCTACTGGACATTATCGGAATGCGTTCAACTCGTCGACTGTGATAAGAAGCGTTATCTAGTACAATAACTGAATTTCGTTCTACACGCTGTAATACTTCAGTAAACTATTTTTCAAAGCATTCATGTCCTCGTGGTAGTCTCCTGTTTTTTCGATATAAACACAAGAGCGCTATTTTCCAAAAATCCACTGTCACTTCCGATATGGGTAACAATTAGGAGCTGTCCTTTTACCTGATGGTGCTTTCAAACCTGTAGATAATCCCTCTATAAAAGCTTGGCGATGACTATAGTTACAGAAGTATCTTGCCCTATCTTAGATACCGTGTGTCCAGCATTCACCCACGTTTCATTGAGATAGTATATCTTTTTTTTAGCGGCTCTAAACTCTTAAATATTTCGTAAATAACGCCGTCACCAGGACACTATATTTGACCTCTCAATTAAAATTGATTTCCTACACAGTTTGACAAAACGAAATTTTAGGCCTCATAAAATTTTTCGTAGTTTCACGGCTAATGGAATTTCTTGGTTTTCTCTTAATTTCGTAAGAACAACTTTAAGTGTTGGGGCTTTGTTTTCGAAAAAAAAAAAAAAAGAATGTACAGTTTTTCGAATGATTTGTTTTTGGTTATCGTCCAATTTTAACAATTTTCGACCACGGGTATGCGTTTTAGGGGCTTCAAGGAGCCTTTTTTGTCTTTTCGCGTACAATACGTTCAATTGTTGAAACAGATACTCCAGTTAAAAAAGAACTGCGGTTTACAGCTTCATTTGTAGGAAGTGTCTGTTTCCGCCCATCATACACTTTCCATATAATGTTCTTTTCATCCTTTGATAAGGGCTTTCGTAATTGGGTTTCACTTGGACCCGCCTCTGAATCCATTACAATATAATTCTACTATTAAATTGTTTTTATTAAATTTATAAAGACACCAATATTTTACTATTTAATAAACTTTTAAAGTACCTACCTAATATACTACACAATAAATATAACTCCTCGAATATGCACTACCACTACCAAATTGTAAGGCACAAACATGAACACCTACTCGTATATCAGTAAAGAGCATTTATACAAAAGTGTTTATAAAATATAAAATAATTATCGTAAATAGTTAAAGGGATACAAATATAACTTCGTCGAAAGTTAGTTTTAAACTGTCTTTGCGCCTGTGCCAACAATATTCAATCTGTAACCCGTCTGTCGTTTATTTACTTGAAACACATTTTAAAACCATTAAACACAGATAACGAATTCATTAGGGAATACATATATTCATTTCTTGAAAACTATCAAAAACGTATATTTAACGCATACTCTTTGTTTAAATAAAGATTTTGACAAACAAATTTAATAAAGTTTACTAACAAATACATAATAAATAATTATTTGGTATTTGATACGCCGCCTATGCTGACTCTGTCGAAATTTTCATTCATAGACAACAGTGTTGATCATGCATATGACTCACCTTCTCCAATATTTTGTCCGAGTATAGCTGATTTAAAAAGAACGAAAAAAAGAAAAAATATTTTTGGAAACATTTTTAATCAAAATAGTTATACATATTAATATTATAAATTGTAAACTTAATAATACTTAGAAACAAAATATCAAAAATAAAAACAATATCCAACTGAATAGACTAAATTGTGAATAAATCATAAAATTGATGCTTTATAATATTTATTCCAGTTTTTAAACTATATATTCTATACAGTTGCTTTATGTTTATCATAACATTGTAAAAATATAGGGTAGGTATATGGTATAAATGTCTTTTATTGACCCGTAAAATACTACAACTATCCATCCACCGTATTACGTTTATTCACAACTGTCATTGCAAAACTTATATTTTCCAACCATACCCAGACAACACACCAAATCCCAGAGATATCCACAGAATATCTTTTGTGGATATCCAATATATCCCCAGGATATCTGAAATATCTCGTGGATCTAATATGGATATCCAAATATCCGTCTATATCCAGAATATAATAATAATAATAATAATTTATTCACAAAAAATACAATAATAATTACAATTACAAAGTATTATTATACAAATTTAAAAAACGGTATCTGTGAATAAAATATACTCGATAAGCGTATAAACCATAGAAATAGTATAGAAAGCCGATTCCATATATCAAAAATGAAACCATAAGGAGAAAATAGTGTGTCAGAGCTCATGCGTATAACGGTGCTGGCGCGAACAGGACCGGTGCAAGTTTTTTATTGATCGAACAAATAGTTCGCACGATATTTCAATCATACATTCTTAGAGATGATTCTATACAAAAAACGATTAAAAAAATTTCAAGTTAAGGTAAATATGGTTCTGACAGTCCTTATTAAGAAAGATATGGCATAAAATATGAATTAGTTAATTTTCGGCAATCATTAGTACAGTAGTCATGAGATTTTGCTTGTGATTTCAAAAATACTTTCCAGAAAAACCACGTGCTCCAGTTTTGACTACGTTTATTATTAAACAGCGAAATTATATACAAAAACTTTAATCCACAATCTAAATTAGGTACTATCACAAGAAAATCACTGTTACAATAATTAATTACTTAACCAAAAACTAAAATACTTTTTAGGTACCTACGTAACCAGAAAGGAGCTGGACCATTTATCCTAATTTTGATTTTCTCTCTCCCTACGATAAAACTTAAAACAATAACAAATTGCCTATCTACTAGGGTCGGTAACTAAACGTATATACATAATGGGCGGATTTTGTTTATACTTAACATTACACTCGCGCATTTAAATATAACTATGCATATAAATATTTACAAACAAAGATACTTTTCCAAACAGGCAATCATTAGTACTGTAGTCACGAGATTTTGCTTGTGATTTGACATCTTATTTGATAATATCATTTGCTACAACTAAATTTAATCTGGGGAGTGCAAAATAGGGCCCAGGAATATTATGTTCGATATTTTTTTACATTTTGTCAGCCGAGACTATGAGTCGTTAGACAGAAAACCTTTCATGTTACCATTTTCAATATAAATTAAAAAATTAAAAAATACTACTACATTTACTTGGTACATATTTTATTTTAATTTTGAACCTTTTTAAAAGGGTCTTTCGGTTCCATAATAAAAATTAGTTGCTGCTTACTAGAAACATTCTATATAGCCTAAACTAATTTATAGTTTGTTTTCGATCAATTTAATACAAAGATTTAAAGTTTTTAGTCGATGATAACATTCCACACCAGCACATTGCAAACCTATTTTATAAATAATAGGAATAAACTTGTAAATCATTAATTTGGTAGTTATCTCACTCATATGATTTTTTTGTTTATATGACTATTTCGATTTCTAAATATATTTTGGCCTTACAATACGAAACGTTTTGTATCTACCACTTTTTTAATGAACGATGAATGTTGGCAGGCGTGTACCTTTTTCGGAACAAGAGGCGTTTTAACGAAGGAAATGATTTTCGAACTATCTAGTTAGTTTTCGGAAAAATAGAAAACGTTTGAAGAAAGTTGTCAATAACAGTTTGTCGTTCATGTGTTTCATTTTGATCAGCTTTCATACTAAATTGCGTAGAATATTTTTCCGATTCAAAATCGAGATTCTCGATATTTCCACAGTTTATTTATAATACCTTCTAAACTGGATTTATCTATAATTTTATATACTTTATAATATATGTTCATGCCCTACTTTTCACTTTATTAACAATTTTTTTTTAACATACTTCAAAATGGTAGGATATTCTCAATTCGTTGAAATATTTTTTTATGTATGTTGAGCGATAATTCTTTACCACGTTGCCCGATTTCTAGGATTATTTTTGTTAGAAAAGGAAACAGTTTTATATACATTAAGTCAAGATCTGAAGATGGGATCCATAAGAAAATCATTAACATCTTTATTTTTAAAGTAGGTTTTTTTTTTTAATTTCTTTAAACCTTACTGGTTCGAACGCGGTAAGGAATGAAGAAATGTAAATAATTGTTGTGCCAGCCAAAAAGCGAAGAGGAAGTACCGATTAAAATATCGAGTGACAGAAGAGTTCCTAAGATTGTTGAGATCGGGTTTATGTTTTAAAATGCCTTAAAACCGATATCGATAATGTCTCCCCGTCGCTGGGCAGCCTGTATATAAATATACAGCTCTCTATTTACATAATTATAATTCTTAGGTAGGTTTAGATTTGCAGACATAAATCTTGTAATAAATATAACAGCTGCCTAATACATTGATTACATTTTCATTAGCCAATGTAAAAATGTCTTTTATTGTACCTAGGATTTGACTAAACACTACACAAAACTAAAAATAAAATGCCACTTTCATCGTGTAATTAATGCCGCGTTTGAGAATCCACATCGGATGCATTTTTTACATCTCGAGCGTTTTTTATCCACATCGGACACATCTGTCCCATTACATTTACGTATACTGAATCACGTGATCAAAGATTTACTACTTACTACATCTCAGATGCATCCGATGTGGATTCTCAAACGCGGCATAAATAATAAACTACAAACGGTCCTGTAAGGGCAGCGTCATATAGCTTTGAAACACCGGATTTTAGTGCTATTGCCAGGTCAATATTGAATTTGTAGGTGAATCGCTTATTGAACAATAAAAATACGGTATTAATGACATTAATACGGTATTTGTATATATTTTTGGGAATGTAATTACACATAAATATTATTAGTTGATTATTTAAATGTGTATAAGTTATTTTGTGGCGATATTTCGTAGATATAAACTGTTTAAATCATATAATTTAAAAATTAATTAATTTAAAATTCTTTTCAATAATATATTTGGCAACACTACAGGGACAAGTCATGCATATTGCGCAAGCTTCTAGACACACTATTTTGCGATGTCAGGCGCAGAGACGCGTTTTTATGCACAGTAGGTTTCAATTTCTGCTTAAATGTTATGTTTATATTGGTCTTGTATATTATTTCTATGGTATAAACGCTTGTTTTGAAAAACAAAAGAAATATATTTAAAATCTAAAATAATATTTAACAGTAACATAAATTACTAAAATCGATTTAAACATAAATAAATTAAAAATATAACATAATGTAGGTGCTATAAATTATATTAGCATTTTTTATTTTAAGGAGGTTCTTTCGCCACCAATGTTAAATAAAAAATATTAGATTATGACTAAAATTTATTTTTTTCTAATAGTAGAAGTCCTTATTTATCTAATAGTGAACTTTTAACTATAGCTTACCGTGCACATTTTTGAGAATTTTTTTTTTTTTAAATGTGTGTTTTCGTACAGTGTCTTACGAGAAAGTTAAACGCCCTACACACGTAACGATTTATCGTACTGCGCATTGAACTGCAGATCGTAAAGAAAATCGTACGGCTTGCAGTACAGCCATTTTTTGTACACACAATGCAACACATTGTACTGCCGCAGTTCAGATTATTTAGTTTTCGTCGAGAAGGGCTACCGTTATGTCAAGAATTTCAAAGAAGAAAGCTGCCGTGCTTGTAGCTACGGTATTGCTGATGAAGATGATGAACAAAAAGAAATCAAAAAGCGAAAATGGTGTAAAAAGTGGTTGCTGGAGAGAAATAAATATTCACATATGAGGTTGTTAAAAGTGATGGAAAAAGAAGAACCTCTTGATTTTAAAAACTATTTAAGAATGGATTCTGATACCTTTACGTGTTTGATGGATTTAGTTTGTAATAAAATTACGAAGCAAGATACAATTATGAGAAACGCAATATCTGCTAAAGAAAAATTGGTTGCAACACTAAGATATTTAGCAGCAGGATGTTCTTATATTGTTTATTTTCTTTTTCATCACTTCTTGTGATGCTTCTGGGAACAATTCCTTCAATTTTTTAAACAAAATTTCATAACTGGAATTTCTTTTCATTTTATTTGCATAATCTTTTGATTTTACATCCCATAGGCATCTATTTTCTCTGTACAAATCAATAAAGTCTTCCCAGAACGTCTTATTTTTTAAATCCCTAATATTGATTAAACCAAATATAAATAAAAATTATATCGTAACTGCGCGTTGCGGCAGGAATACACTCCACACGTTCAGACTTGCGTTCAAACCCCACCCCAGACACGACCCGTTGATACGATATTTTACGGAAGCTCCCTACTGCAAACGATTTGACGACTGCATACTGTAAACCATCCAATTTCCCTACACACGCTACGATTTATCGTTAATGCGGCAGTTTCGATGGATATTGTACTAGACATGGGTAACGCACTAAAATTCTTTGCGTTGATACACTAACTCCGGCGCACTCTATTGCGCCAACTCATTGCGTTAACGCAATTGCGTTATTGTGTCACACCACTGCCTGCGCCGAATGAAGTCGATGCACCTCGGTGTATCGCATGATACCGGTGTTATTCAGCGCGGGCTGTCCTTTTATAAGGGTCAAACCGTGTTCAAGGCAATAACGCAATTGGGAATTTAACTAAATTTTTTTTATTATATGTTTAAAAATAAACGAAAATATAACATTTTTTTATTTCATTGTGTTCGGATTTTACAAAGAATACAAAAATTCCAATTTATATAAAAAGAATATAACTTTTGTATACTAGTAGCCAATGAAAATGGGAAGAACTCAAAACTGCCAGTGTACAAGGTTAAAATCCATAAAATTCGACCTACAATCCTACAAATGATGTGACATGTTGCAAAGAACATAATTACTTGATAGATTTTGGGTAATCTGCATTACGAGTTGCATCAATTACGTAAATTAAAATTCTCAACTCGTCACGGAAAACGGAATCAGTGCCTGGCGCATGGCGCACCAACAACTCGCGATCCTTTCGACTCAGTATCGAAAATTGCGTTGCGCTGATACAGTAACAGCTGGGGACCTATTTTCAAACCGTGTGAGTACTCATTTCTCTCAAGATTCTCATCAGAAATGTCATACGTCAATGTGGAAACGCTGTTTTTAAAGGCCTCGAGGATTAAAATTCTTAGGAGGATATTAATTATCTCTAAATAAACCGTGAGAAACAATCAGTGAGTTTACACTGGCCCTAAGGACTCTAAAAATACTGTTTTACGTTGACGTATGACATTTCTCTCGAGAGAAATGAATTCTCTCGACTTTGAAAATAGCACCCCTGGTGTATCAACGCTCGTAACGCATACAACTGCGTTAACGCAATAACGCAACGCAGCGCTGCGTTACCCATGTCTATATTGTACTGCATGCAGTACGATAAATCGTTACGTGTGTAGGCCGTTTTAGACTTCAACAACAATTTTCGAATTATAATTAATTTTACTATTATTTATTGATTAGATGGAGTAGAAAAAAAATAAAAATAAGGTTTTTGAAATATTTAGGTTTTGTTTTTTACAATAAAATATATAGGTTACCGTGGAATTTATTGAGAAATTAATATTAAAAAATCACAAAAAATTTTCAACTAGGTTACTTCAAATTTTTTTTTAATATTAATTTCTCAATAAATTCCAAGGTAACCTATATATTTTATTGTAAAAAACAAAACCTAAATATTTCAAAAATCCTATTTTTAGTTTTTTTCTACTCCATCTAATCAATAAATAATAATATAATTCGAGAATTGTTGTTGAGGTCTTATTTTCTCGTAAGACACTGTACAAATATTCACATTTAAAAAAAAATTCTCAAAAATTTGCACAGTAAGGTATAGTTAAAAGTTCAACATTAGATAAATAAGGACTTCAACTATTAGAAAAAAAAATAAATTTTAGTCATAATCTAATATTTTTTATTTAACATTGGTGGCGAAAGGACCTCCTTAATATAAAAAAGTCAAAAATTTAAAATCTATAATCTAAAATCTTAAAAACTTAAAAACCTGCACAATCATTTTTTTTTGGGATAATGTTTAATTTTCAAAATAACCATGGATCATACTGCGAGAGTTAGCTGTTTTAGTCTTTTTTTAAAAGTGTACAAGTTTGATTCAGTTTGAATGCTTTTAGGAATTATATTGTACAGTTTGGGTGCGAAATAGGAAAATGATCTCTGTGAAATCACTTTGAACATTAATGGAGCTAAATAACGCCATTTTGTTCTAGTATTATATTCATGATATACTAGACCTTGAGGTTTACGAACATGATATTTGTTGCTACAGCAAAAAAAATCCTATGGATATCCAGCAAAATATCTAATGGGTATCTTCCAGACAATACAAGAAATCCCAGAGATATCCACAGAATATATTTTGTGGATATCCAATATATCCAGTGGATCTAATATGGATATCCAAATGTTCGTCTATATCCCAGGATATAGAAGATATTTAGCAAAATATTTTATGGGTATATTTAGTAGAGGTTCATAAGTAACCAATGATTTTGAATAACGTCGAAAGAAAATAGCAGAGATAAAAAATATTTTCAACACTCAAAATATTTTCAACACTCTGCCTTTGATTTTGCTTGATAAGGAGAAAGTCATCCTTAGGACTCTTCAGCAATAAATGGAAATTCTCGACTCCAGTCTCTAATAGAGTCTGATTGCGATACCAATTTCGATCGAACTCAGTTACAGCGGGTTGAGCATGAGTAGATATTCAACGAGCGAAAGTGATATCGCCATCTATACTTAGAAAGTAAAATCAAAAATTACATCAAGTGGATGTCCATGGGATATTGAATACACCTTAAAAAAATTAATTTTAAATATCTAAACGGTACTATTAGCCACAATGGCGTAATTTTTTAATAATTTGCTATATAATTACTATTATTTATGGACATTTGCATGTCTATAAATTACATCTCATGGACATAGGCGGCGGAATTCAAAAATCGCTTTGGGTGCCCGGCTTCTATGCAGAAAATGGGGGATGCCCCCCACCATCCACACTTCACTTAAAGGCACCACCGGTTTTTTAAAAAGCTATTTTAAAGTTGATTTTATGAAAATTTTCTTAAAAAAAAAAGTATTGTTAACTGGCAATTGCTGGATAGGCTAGAGACTTCCACCTAAAACGGGATATCTGGCAACCATATATGCTCGGTGCAGCCATCACTGGTATTTTGAAGGTATTTTTACATAGATTATAACCCCCAAGTTTTAAATCGCTACTGTCTTCCTAGCCATGATCTCTTAACGATTTTTATTTTCTGTAAAAGCCTACCAGTTACTCGAGTAAATACTAGAAATGCTGACCCTGGGCCTCCATGCAATAATAGAGGTTTTGTTCAAAATGCTCTCGAACATTTTGAATCATCTATGGGGTGATTTGATGACATTAATCAATTATCCGTTGTCGCAGATTTTCCAGAGATGTTGGCTGTGTGGCATAATTTTTAAGTGGCCTCATAAAAAATCCAACGGGCTTAGATCCGGAGACTGTGGGGGCCACTTAATACTTCCTCTTATTCCGATCCTGGAAACGTTTGATCCAAATACTGACGAACAGTGGCGCACCGTCATCGTGGAATATTAAGTTGTTTGCTATGTATTGATGGTCATTTTCAATCATCTCTAGTAATGTTGGATAAATAGCGCTATCTAATAATTCCAGATACATTTCTGCGGTTAAAGTTTCTGGTAAAAAAGCGGCCCAATATACGGTTACCAAAAATGTCAGCCCAAACATTCAGTTTTTCCGGATGTTGCGTATACACTTCATGAAATATTCTGGGATTTGAATCGGACCAATAACGACATTTGTGACGATTTACCGAACCATTTAGGAAAAAAGGTGCATTGTCTGAATAACACACGTTGAAAAGAAATTGCTGATCATTTAATACCCGTTCAGTCATAATTTCACAAAATTGTAATCGCCTATCAAAATGATCTTCATTAAGTTCTTTGACCAGATGTATTTTGTAGGAATAAAACTTGTGTTTTTTCAATATCTTCTGAATACTACGTCTCTTAATACCAGATGTTATCGCCAACTGTCTTGTACTCAATATGGGTTCTTGAACAACATGTCCTAAAATCGCCACCTCTGTAGCTTCATTTACTATAGAATTTTCCATTTCACGTTATTTGTTAGCTACTGACTCAGTTTTCCAAAATGTTAAGACTAACTCCAAAATGTAGTTTCGATGGACTTGTCGATTTTGATGTTGATTGTTAAATAGTTAAATTATTTGCACCCTTTCAGCAATAGAGTAAACCATTATCACTGATATGCCACTTTTATGCCGACTCAACAACGAAATAAACTAAACCTAACTACTTTACGGCGACCAAAGAATGTCATCTAATAAGAATAATTGAAAGCCACAGGAATAAAAGTAAAATTGTTACAAAGAATTCCTTTTTTTTTTATTAACAATGTAAAAATTATGTTAAACCGGTTTTGTACTTTTGGTGAGCCACTGTATGGGCTACATAGATAGTAGCGGGGGTTATTATCTAGGTAAAAATACATTCAAAATAACTTATCATTCGACCAATCTTTCCATTTAAGATATAACTGGTAAGTCTTACCCCCAATAGAGGGTTTCCGCTTAGAGGGTGAAACTGCCAAAACAATGTTTCCCTCTAAAAAATAAAATTGACGGGTCCAAGCGTTTTTTAGTAGATGACCTGGTTTCTCGCCAGCAATACTAGAAAGCTGTTTCTAACTCTAAATGAACGTTTTTTTCTAACGGTGCTTGATCGGGAGCAACTTTCAAATGTTCTCCCTTTTCCCCTTAAGCAGTTGCTCAATGGCATATGTACAAAGATCTTATCTTGATAATTGTAGACCGTTATTAATCTTTTTTTTTAACGTCATAGGGTTTTATACACCAAAAATAATAAACCCTTAAGTTCAACGCGTTGTCTATGACAAGTTACGGCGACTTTTTTATCACAAAAAATGCAGCTCCGAACGATAATATTTTATTGAGGCATCTTCATTTCACTTATTGACACTTTTTATCCTCGTTGTGCTATGGGTGCTCCGCACCCTGTTTAAAATTGCTCTGGGTGCTTGCACACCCAGAGCCCCGGGAATTCGGCGCCTATGCTCATGGATATAAAATAGATATCTACCATGGACTGGACATTCAGTGGATCTCCAAAGGATTTGGTGTGCTGTCTGGGTTGTACCTATACTAGTTTTTTTTATTTTATTTTAAACTCAATTGTCTCTACTTTTTAAAATTGTATGTGTTAATAGGTCTTATATGTTTATATATTTTTTAACCTTTTTAAAATATTTTAAATATCGGGGTTATGATCGACAAGTAATGTTATTTTTAACAGACACTTTATTGGTAAACAGGTTGTTATTTCTGTGTGTTTATGAAATAACAGACCTGTTATAATTAACACAGGTTGTCAATCATAACCCCCCCCCTATATATGTATCAAAGCCTAATAAATATTATTATTATTATTGGATTTCATGTTTAGAATTTTCGTAATGCAGTGGATGGATCTGTATATAAATAAGCACCAGTTTGAAATATCACACATCTTTAGGTATTTAATCAGATTTAATAAAGAGTTTGTCAATTCGGTTTGGTTTCTAACACTGCAGTTATCAATATCAATTCTCAATTTGTATCAGCTAATTTCGATTTATAGCAAGCTATTACAACGGGTTCATTTACTGTTTGCAAAATAGCTTTAATATCGTTATAAACTTGCTTTATATCCTCATCTTCGTAATCATCATTTTCATCCATATTGTCAATAATTTGAATAATCATAATGCAAGTAGTTGAATTTTGTTTGTGTTTTAAAACAGCTCGGTAAAAATGCAATTTATCTTTCATATCCAACGGTTGCAATGTACCAACCAGTTCTTCTTTAAACGTAGAAATCACCAGATAACTCAAATCGGAAATTAATTGATCCAAGTAGTCGACAACAGTAACTGCATATTTTTCGATATCAGGATTGTCTACTCTTAATAATAATAACTTCATTCTAATGTGTTCTTGTAGGGTTTGAATTATAGTGAAATATTTCGTCCAGTTATTAGAAAACAAACGAATAAAATCTTTATCAATGTCATCGTGATGGACATTGTTTATGAACGTTTTGAAAAATTCGTATCTCAAATGTCTCTTAAATGTTGAAACAATGCCGAATACGAGTTTGAAATATTCTTCACGTTCTATTTTTCGATTTTTTAAAACTGCAATAGCAAAATTATTAACTCTTAAGAATCTTTCGTTGCCTTGCAGAGGAAAGTAACGGTTTAAAATGTAAAAAACGAATTCTTTCGATAAAGTTACCAATATCTCTTTACACATGTAATCTAGTAATTTTTCGAGATATTCTTTCACTTTGATCCCGGATAATGATTGTAAGTTTTCAAAACATTTCCAACACTTTTCGATATATGTATGTCTGTATTTCGTTGGAATGTGAACGCTGTTCAAACTATCTAAAGTTTCTGTATCGTTTTTATCGATCGTACTCATATTTTCGATAACTTTATCCAATAACTCTTGAGAAGGGTTCTTGACGAAATATTTCAAAGTTGCTGAGAACATATATTTTTGACTAGAGACGTTGTGTTCGTTCCTGGTCATCAAGAAGTTAATAGTGTGTTCTTTATCTAAAACAGCGCAGCTTAGGAATATGGCATGTTTTCTTGCAGAAACAGCTTGTTTACTCAGTCGTTCTATAAAAGGATATAAAATTCTTTGAGGCGACTTATAAAAAGCGCTATACAGAGCTGCTAAAGATATTGGTAAAAAATCGCCTTTACAAAACTTCATAATTGTAGGTAACATTTTGAATGGTTCTGCGATCTTAGCTAATTTTTTAGCCAAATCGGTTTGGATTTTGTACAATTCGCGCATCTCTTCGTCTTCCAAATCTAACTTATCTTTTTTAGGTAAATAGTTTTCTTCGACGATCTTTATGAATTCTTCAGTAGGAAGTAATTCCAGTAAACCTTCCAGCAATTTACTAATAATACTATCTTCAGTTTTGTCGATTGTTTCTAAATATTTTTTGTAAGAATCTCCCACTTTCCTATCCAAATCGAGATGCGAATATTGTTTCAATATCTTGGCGTCTAAAAAATACCCATCTTCCGAAGTAATATTGTTTAAAATTATATCCAAATACGTATCCAAGGTTTTTGGGTCGTTTTTAAGTAACCAAGGTATGATGTGACCGTCGAGAGATTTTTCATTTCCCTCCATATACATCTTCAATAATTTATTTCCTAAATCAGAACGATCTTTCGTATTAACAAATTTTACTAAAACATCCTTAAACCACCAAATACTTGTATCATGTTCTTTTGTTATATATGAAAATGTTTCCAAAATCATTGAGTCATCAATATCTACAGCGTATTGAGGAAAAGTTTCGTTATAAATAATCGTTTTCACTATAATTTCTTGTTCATTCTGTTCAATTTCCTCGTCGTTCTTAAAACATTTTATAATTTGTTCAACAAGATACGGGTAATTTTTTAACTCTATACAAAACTCTTTGTTTTGCAAGCTAAATGAAATTAATTTTGAAATTAGACTAATAACGTCATTTACGTAGTTTTCGTCATCTTTTTTAACAATATCTGGAAAAACTTTGCTCATTCCACAATATATTTCTTTTTCGACAGCAGAATCTTCCAATTTAAAAGTAGTATAAGACTCTTCGCCTAATAAATCGTCCATATAAAAGCCGAAAATTAATTTGTAGTCTTTTTTAGTTTTCAATAAAAATTCTAGGTGCTTCATAATCACCTTGTATGCCACATACAAGAACAACTCTTCTTGAAGCTTAAGAATTCGGATTTGCTCATGTATATATTTCCAGTGGGTTCCCTTTAATTCTTTTAAATCAAAAAGACTACCAATCTTTTCTAATAGGTTGTTTCTAAAATAGGGATCTTCATTTTTGTGTCTGAAATAAAAGTAAACCTGTTATTATGATCCATCACCCTACATTTGAATTTGATATATTCACTGCTTAATACGTTTACATTTAACGCATTTACAACTTTGCTTGGAATTGATTACCGCGAATGCCGGCTTTTTAAGTTAAAGTTTTTGCGACTTGTTGCTTGTTCGACTGACAAAGCGAAAGTGATTTTAGTTTTGTGCTGCCGTTGTTCGTCAACTCGCACCGGCTTTTTAGATTTCTTCTAATTGGCTCCCTACTCTCGTATGATTGCACGCGAGACTATTGTTTTTAAGATCTGTCGTATGATTGGGTGAAAAATCTCGCGTGACTAGCTTTAACTGTTCGCGAAGCAGCAGGTGTATTTGAAGGTTACTTGAAAGTTAAAAGGATGGTTATTGCACAACTTTGGATAATTGGTTTATACAGGGAGTGTCTATTTAGTATTTTATTCTTTTTTATTTGTTAAGTGCGGAGGTTTATACAGGGAGTGTCTATTTAGTATTTTATTCTTTTTTGTTTGTTAAATGCTGATTTAGATTAATCTGCCCTACCGATAGAACATGTTGAATGTAATTTCAACACTAAATTCATTTCTAATTTTAATTATCTGTGTTCTCTCGTGTAGGTAGTTTTCAAAAATTTTTAAAACCAATCCTCGAATGCCATAATGTTCAAGAACATTTAGTAGTTGCTTGTGAGGAACAGTGTCAAAAGCTTTTTAAGCATTTTTTGTTTTTTAATTATTATTTAATTAGCTATCTTGTTTTAATTAAATAACAAATGGTATCATCAGAAGCGTAGTAAAATGGTAAAGTGTAATATATCGTTGTATTTAGCTATACAAAAGCTATAAAAAATTACAGTTAAAAATCCAGGTCCGTATTTAAAAAAATAAGTTGAAGGTAGCCCTGCAAATACGAAATATCGTAATAAAAATTTTGACACGGCAAATTATAGGGAACTTGATTTATAACAAAAACTTCGTATAATTTTTTTTGTATATTTTATAATAACAATGCACGAAAATGAGGTTTTTCGAATTTTATCGAATATCTCCGGAACCAGTCAGAAAATCTGGAACTTCTATGGACCATTGTATTATCCGTCAAAATACGAAACTTTTTTACTATTTAAACGACAATGTATATCTTACGGTTTACGAGATCTCTGTATACGCAAATTAAATCCGGTCCACCCTGTAAACTACACCATCACAGTGATTATTCACACTTTCATTAAATATATTGATAAAACCAGGTATAATTAAATTATCAATTTCATTAACATTACGTGTTTCTCCTAATATTATTATATCCAAGTCTTTAAATCAAAAGTTTCTAAAAATACTAAAAAGTTGTTAAAATTTTTTTTATACTTCTAATATTCAAATGCAAAATTTTTATTAAGGTTGTTAATTGATTATTGCAACTGATAATATTTAAAAAATTGTCTAAAATTCAATCTCATTAAAAATATTTAGTTCTGCTATATTTATAAGAGAGAAACATTATTTAAATTGTTGTAAAGTTAGTAAAAACTGTTATAATGTTGAGATTAAATTAAAACAAAAAAGAAAGCAAAGATAAGAAATTAATTTTCACAATAGGTTGTTTTATTTTTAAGAACCTGTATTTCAGAGTATTACCACAGCTTATTCATATCTAGCTAGAACACTCTCTTGGCGGGAACGGTTTGCGTCGATCCCTTCGCGCAGGTTTTATGCTCCGCCTTTTCGGGGAAAAGATGTCTTTGCCGTGCAGTCGGGAGATCGGTATTACTTATTCTACGTTAAGCGGACATAGCCGTGCGTATATTTTTGTGTTTAATTTGTAATTCTTTTGAACATTTGTGTTTTATGTTTATTTTTTACTGTAGTAAAATGAGTGACAAAAAACTATCAGGACATCATCATGTTTGTGCAGTGCGAAATTGTTTTAATAAAGGTTATAATTGTAAGAAGAAATTCTATTGTTTTCCTAAGGATGCTAACCGGTAAGTACTTACCTACACGATATTTTTTGCATATTTTGATGAAAAGTAAACTTTCGATTATTTGCTATGTTGTAGTAAAAGTAATTTAAAGTCATACAAAATCTTCTTTAATTATGAGAAGCTATGTTTGGCCTGTATAAATATATACCTAAGTAGTTATTAATTTAATACTTGTTAAGGTAAAAGAGGGTTTATTGGTGGTTTTGTTTAATATTTTTGCAAATCGAAATAATAAAATATGTATATCAACAAATATTAATTGGAAGCAAATATATACAGTATGCGCCAGATCTAAAGAACCAAGGATGTGCATTTATAATGCTACTAACACGCCTACGGATGAATAGAATTGGTAGCTTACCTAGAAAGTTGTAAACCAGAGGTCCGTATATTTTAAGACATAAAATAAATGGAAAATAGTAAATGATACTTGTTCATACATATTGCTTAGTGTTATTATTAGTACATAATTCTATAGTCAATTAAAAAAAATCATTATTTTTAGGTAAACCGACTTTAGGTTAAGGCTGTTCTACCGCTTTCCGTTCGGTATTTATATAAAATTCTGTTACGGTCAGGAAATTATCCTTTTTCAAATAAATTAAATTGTGGAAAAATTGTATATTGGTCAAACGGGCCGTAGTTTAAAAAAAAGCTATTTAAAACATTACAATAGTTATACTAAAAACAAAAATAATTCTACAAAACATATTTTTTTCTGAAAATCAATCGTTTATGCAAAATTTTTTTCACATTTTGATAATAAAGGCATTAAATTAAACCATTTAGAAACACTTGAAATAAATTGATTTAAAAATTTAAATATCCTCTTAAGTGATCAATTAGATATTAATAAGTAGCCTAATTAAATCTCTTTACCTGTTCTTAGTTTTCTGTGAGATAATCCCGGTAATGATATTTTAATGGATTTATTAATATATTTCTCTTAAGTACCTATTTTAACTAATTAGTTTATTTTGGATATATATTAGAAATGTAAATGAGTTACATTTGAAGAAGAAGTTGTACTTAGAAACAATTGTCGTGCAATTTTTAATTTTTATTTCTTTAAATAAAAATGTGAAAATCTACCATGTTTGGTTTTTCTCATTTTAATAATATGGATTTGCATCAAGTAAAGACCGTAATATTATATTAATGTTAAATTTAGTATTTTTTTTTACATTTATTAGGAAACAAATTTTTTTAGAAACAGAAGATAAATTTAAAAAATTTAAATATAAAATATGCACAGATATGTGTGTAAAATACAAAAAAATATGGAAAACTACACAAGTTTAATTCCAAATAAACTACAGGGTATGTTTACCTGTTGCTTGTGCAGTTTGAAGTTTGATATCATCTAAAGTAACTCCTTTCTTTTTTGTTGCGTCAAAATATTTAAAAACATTGTATATTACTTCACGACTTTGTCCGTTAATAACAAATCTGCGCTTTTTTTCACCCACAATAGAAGACATTATTAAAAATAAAACCAGTCACTTTAACCAAAACACAGAAACAAGAAACAAACAATGTTCTAGTCGTTACGCTACTGACCGTAAGCAAGGACAAGGTTCAAATTGTGAATGGGCGTGGCGATTTTTAAGTAAACGAACTTGAGCATTTGCGCTGGTTCTTCAGATTTGGCGTTTACAATACCTATATAGCATTGTTTAAAAATATATTTAAATATTTACAGAGCCAGAACATGGGCAATGAAAGCCAATCGAGAGGACCTATTTGAAAAACTAATCGAATTATATAAAAGTTACTCGATATGTGAAGACCACTTTGAAGAGAAGATGTTCACGAGTCACTTTCGTACAAGATTAGTAGCCATTGCAATTCCTACCCTATTCCCGTCCCTCGAGGGGAGTTCCACAACTGAAGACCATACGTATAGTGCACCGCTCTTGCAACTTCCTGCGAAAATACGAGTTCTAGATGACAGACTGATAGCTCCACCTATCACACCTGCACTATTTGATTCAGGTACTAAAAATAATAGTGTTTTACTTAAAATTAAATATAATGTTTTATATACAGGGTGAAGCGAGGGGTGAACCTAATTTGTTCCACTTTTAAAAGACTACAACTTTTTTATTTTTTAACTTTTTAAAACAAGCTAATAATCACATGATTATCTTTAGCTGTACAATTTTGTTATAGCTTTTGATCCGCCCTAAATAAAAAAAAAATCATTTTTAAGCAAATAAATCGTTCTTTATACTTATTCATCTAAGTTGTTATTTAAAGTTTAAATAAAATGTATTTTTGCAGCTAACCAGACAAATCTAGTTGAAACCGAGCTCAAAATCCAAGTTCAACATGAGATCGCCCTGATTCCAATTACAGACAGTCCTCCTCTGACGTCTCCAACATTTACCCAAACGTCAGCCAGTTTATCCTTCGATACACCAAGAAAAGTTAAATACAGGCAGCATATCAAGTCCATAACTGCCGAAAACAAATATTTACGACAAAGGGTTGAGGTACTTGAAAAAAATAATGAATTGGACAATATATCTTTGGAGCAATATATGTCCCTAACATATAAATTTTGCAATCCAGACATTGCAAAATGTGTTAATATGCAAGTATCACAGGGGCATAAACATCCAAAGGGAAGACGTTACAGCAAAGAATTTAAAATTGAATGCCTATCAATATATTTTGCTGGTCCCAGAGTTTATAAAAAATATTTAATGTCTAAATATAGCCTTCCCTCGCCTAACACTTTGCTAAAAGAAATCAGAGCGTTAAGATAGGACCAGGATTAGATAATCCCGAGTTCTTCATTTTATTAAAAAAAAAGTTGACAGTTTCCAGTCTCAAAGCAAATATTGTTTATTGTGCTTCGATGAAATGTCAATAAAAGCAAATTTATTTTATGAACGAAATCAAGATGACATCATAGAGCTAGCAATGGGCGATACAGGGGAAAATATTTTTAAACCAACTTTAACTGTCAGTATACTTATGGTAAGGGGAATTTATTCGAAATG